GAGTACTTTCAGACTGAGTTACAAAAGGTGTCTAATATCAGCATAAGAAAGGCTTACGTTTGCCTTCCTATATGATGTTATTTGAGGGAGTTTTTGAGGCTGCAGTGGGGGAGGGGATATTGACAGACTGGAGGTGATTTTGGTTATAAGCAAGGATGTAAGATATGCTTCGGTCTAACAATAGAAAATTGGATACAATAACATACACTCTTTGACTGAGATACTTGGGCGTAACATGGGTATAGTACAATAAAGGCATGGGTAATTCCATCCAAGTAACTCGCTCGTAAAACATAAAGGCCTACTCCTTGGTTTCAACTATTCTGCTTTGGAAGGGAGTTGTTGGATTAGGGTTGCTCAGTGGTGCCCAGTGGCAGACCAGAGGCAATGGGCACAGACTGAAACACAGGAGATTCCATTTGAACATAAAGAAACACTTTTTTACCGTGAGGTTAACTGAACACTGGAATAGGTTGCCCAGGGACTGTGTGGAGTCTCTCTCCTTAGAGATATTTAAAAAACCATCTGGACAGAGTCCTGCGCAACTGGCTCTAGGTGGCCCTGCTTGAGCAGGGGGGTTTGGACCAGACGACCACCAGAGGTCCCTTCCAACCTCAACCATCTGTGATTCTGTGCAGGAAGGAGGAAGTCGTTCAGTGTTACGGCGTTTGCCTTCCCAAGTCAAGCGCTGCTTTCCTAGAAATGGCTAGATATCTGCCTGCCGATGGGAAGTAGTGAATGGATTTCTTATTTTGCTTTGCTTGCATGTGCAGGTTTGCTTTAGCTATTAAACTGTCTTTATCTCAATCCACGAGTTTTCTCATGTTTGCCCTTCCAGTTCTCTCCCACATCCTGCTGGGAGTAGTGAGCGAACATCTGTGTGGGGCTTAGCTGCCTACTAGGCTTAACCCACACTACCTTACAATTATTGTATCTTTTTTACAGATTGTTTACACTCTTGATGTGAAGGAAGCTTGGTTTCGGGTGTCTGGGCTTGAGGGCTTGTTTAATTGGTGTATCTACTTCAGTTGCAAAATCGTGTATTTTTCCTGAAAATTACTGTTCAGTATCCTTCAGTGAGAAAAACTTTTGTCACTGATGTTTATTTGGAAGTGCTGAAGCACTGCTTCACCAATTAACCAGTCTCGTTCTCACTGAAACTCGGACATGTAACATTGCAGGGCTTCTCACCTGTAGTTGCCACTCAGCACCACCATGCAGTCCACCAAGAGGAACTTCTCTTTCACATGGCCTTTGAAGGACATCCCTGTGCGGCAGTAGTAGGTTGGGCCAGAAACTGTCCTCACCCTTAGGAACTGCAAACCAGACAAGGCACCGACTCAATTGGAAGCTGTTACTTCCCTCCCCCAGCCCCTCCTTCTTCCCCTTGCTCTTTTAACTTCCATCCTGCCACTGTTTTTATACCTCAGCTCTAGTGATTCTGTCTGCATACACAATAGACAGATAAACCTCTTTCTTAGTGTGTCCTCATGCTTCAGCCCTGTACTGTTGTGCTAGCTCTCCTAGCTTTCTTCATACTCGTCTTTCACCAGGCTCTGGCCCATTTTCCCCTTTCTCAGGTTTTTACTGTCATAACAGCCCTCCGTGTCCCAGGACATAACCCCCTCAGGATGCGAATTAGGGGCAGGTCAGGTCTTTGGTTTGCTCACCTCCACATAGTTAAGATTGACTCTGCATTTAGCAGCTGTATCGAGGAAAAGTTGAGAGTTCATTTCATCCAGCAAAATGTACACAGGCACTCTGCGAGCAGCAGCATCCAACACCTCAGACAGCAGATCCACATCAGTGAAAATGTCCATCACTATGGCTACCACCTGGGAAAAGAATGCAAGAAAGACATCAGCGATCTGTGCCTGCTTACGCCCTGACTGATCACGTTCCCCAGCACCTCACACTCCAAAGCTGCACTGCTGCACGTCTCCATTTCAACTTTTTTAAACAGGAACCTTTCCATTTAAAGGTTCCTTTAAACATTGTGGGCCCCAGAACTGGAAACAGAATTGCTATCCAAGGTGCATATTCTGTATATGAGGGTGAGAAGTGAGGGAAAAACATCACTGCCACTGAGCATTCCCTTATTCATCCAATGATAACAGGTGTTTTTTTGGTCACGTAACCACACTGGAAGGTTGTATCAAGCTGCTTGGCCACTACCTGCTCACCCCCCCCAACACACCCATGCCATTTTTAGATAACTTCCTGGCCAACGTTCAGTCTGCCGCTATATAGCTGCATCTATATGCTGATAATATGGGAAGTAGCTTCCAAGCTCTATCTCCCTGTCCTTCCCAACTCTTATTTTATCAGTGAGTATAAATACCTGATGGAAGGGTGTAAGGAAGATGGAGCCAAACTCTTCTCAGTGGTACCCAGTGAAAGGACAAGACACAAGACACAAATTGAAATATAGGAAATTCCAGTTAAACATAAGAAAAACCTCTTTTACTGTAAGGGTGATTGAACACTGGAACAGATTGCCCAGAAAGGTTGTGGAGTCTCCATCCTTGGAGATACTCAAGGACAACATGTCCTAAGTAACCCCCTCTAATCAACCCTGCTTTGAGCAGCGGGGCTGGACTAGACTGTTTCCAGAGGTCCCTTTCAACCTCAACTATTCTGTGATTCTGTGAACTCTTGGTATATTTTAGCATGGCCTTACACACTTTTCCATGAGACCAGAGAGCAGAGGCTAGCTTTGATGCAGTAAACGGTAGTTTTAGAATCATCCTTCCCCTCTGTCTGTTAAGGGAGCAAAGTTAAGGGAATTAGCAGAGCACCTGATGCATTCTTATTCACCTTTTGCACGCATATAATTTTATCTCTGCTCTAGTCGGGTTCTTCACTGTCTCACCTGTTGAGCTGCTCGAATCATTCTGCGAGCCTCCTCCTTAATGCTGGGATTGTCCGGGGGTGGTGGTTGCACGAGGGTTGTCACTTCTGTTCCCCTGAACCCAAAGACCATTGGCCAGCCCAGGTCAAGCTCAGGAACAGCAAGGTCTGAGTTCATGGGCCAGTAAGTCCCAGAGGATCCATCCATGTCATTGTCACCTGCGGTGTCTGTGCTACCTTCCTGATTGGCGTACTGGGGTTTCTGGAGATTCTGTATGATGTGATCCACCTCTGAGTTGCAAAGAAAATCGGGGGCTGCTTCCTCTGCCAGGAAGCGTTGGTAACTTTCTTTGCCCTCTTCTGTAAGCACATCCAGAGCTAAGCGGTAATACTCCTTGTAATGCGGGGGAAGATAGTTAGGGTCAAGGGGATTGTCCCCCTGTGAGGAGCTTTGAGATCGACGAGCCATGAGGGGAGGGAGAGCTGTAGGAAAAGAATAACCAACAATGAGAGCAGTTTCACTCCAGTGACACATCCATCCTCATAAATGGCGAGAGTTGAGGGTTCATGATGGCAAAATCAAAAGGGAAGAGATTCAAAGCACACAGAGTAATGCTGGAGGAAGTTCATTCCAAATGGATGGGGAACCTTAAATTAGGCAAAGGCAGTAATCACTTAAGCATTACTTTAACACAGTTAAACGTTTTTGGGCAAAATAAGAAACAAATCGAATCGGGCAGCACTGTGATGAACAAGGATGATGCATCTAACAGAATGCCCAACTTTCTTTTTTAGGCTGCCAATTGCTAAGTTTATATTTGTCTTTTGTTTTAAAGCTACCTTTTTTTTCCCCCCTCTAAAGGACAATGATGCTGGTTATTATGTGGACTCCATTAAAACTCATTTCCAAATGCTACAAAAATTATTTACTGTGTGTAATATGCCACTAAACCAAAAAGCGTATGCATGTATACAAATGCACCCTCTGAATCCTTATAAATTGAATGTTATAATCACCTCAGCATATGAACAGAAGCAGAGTATGAGTGGAATGCAGGCAAGTATAAGGGTATCCTGCTGTTGTAACATGGTCAGAAGTCAGACAAGTCTTCATGAGATCCGTGGAGAAATAAAAAACAAGGGACATGATTGCTTCTTTAATCTCTTGCTGTCGGGAAAAATCTGAGCTGAAGGGGCTCATATTCAATATTTGACAATTGTCTGTAGGGAACCTGTTATTTGAGACTAAAGACAAATTCGATTTTAACCAATTTTTGGAAGAAAAGCTTGTCGTGCCACAAATATAACTCAATAAATAATATCCTACTGATCTGCAAAGAACTCCAAAGCACTTTGGCTTCTGACCCTCAATTAATGCCAATGCTCAGACATACTTTTCCTGGGGCCCCAGCAGTGACATGCCAACAGAGGCTTCTTCATAATCAAAAAAAGAGCGTGGCTGTGCTTGACCACTCATGCAAAGTTACATTAATAGGAAGTGTGTGTATAAGAGGGTGAAAGTGGCTGCTATTGTCATTGCCATCCAACACTTCTGCTCCCAAAATGGAAGGGATTGCCATGGACGTGGGAGGAAGAAAAAAAGACTTCAGGCCCATACTATAACTCTCGTTAATAGTTGTAAGTATAAAGCTAGAATAGTTTCAAGATAAAGCCTGAATGGACTTTCTTATCTGACTACCTGCATAGCACAGATCAGTGCTGTGTTACTCCTGCCTCAAACTCCCACAGTTACTCCTGCTTCAAACTATAACTCCTAGTAAAGCTGCATGATACAACAGGAAAAAATATGGTCTTAATACAAAGATAGCAACTGAATCTAACAGGTCCCTGTGCAAAGTATTCCAATAGATAATCATCGTCTTTATAGTCTACACATGTAGCCTTATTTGTAGTCTGAATTGTGTAGATTTATCTTCCCACTCTAATTCTCATTCTATCTTTTTTCTCTTAAAAAGCAGTCCACTATATACCTCCATTTTGGTGTGCTCAAGTCACCTACGTACCTACTCTTAACTATTTTAGTAGTGTCTTTAGCCTTTCATTTTAAGGAAATGCTCCCAGAGTTCCATTCATTCTTGGATATAAGACCAACATATTCAACATATTCAGATATAACCCATAAAGGGGATGAATGGTCATGCAGACAGCAAACTGCTCATAATGCTAGTTTGCTCAGAACGGTAACGATGAGAGCCAACTACAAAAACAAAAGAAGAAGCAGAAGAATCTTATGATACTGACTGGACAGTCAAAATGAGTGAATATAACGCTGATAAATATAAAGTGATGAAACAACCCTAATTTTATATTTTATTAATATAATTATTTCAATCCTGTTACAAATCAAGGAGAAGATGGACCTTTAAAGGAAAAGTGTCAGCTACTGCTAAGCATTATTAGGTAAGGAATAGAGAAAATAACACCACTACACAGATTCAGAGGGAACTCACAACCTAAATGTGTTGTGAATATGGAAGTCTCATTCCTCACATCTTGAAAAACGCTATTATAAATCTGAACTATGACTCTTTAGTCTAGAAAAGACATCTACAAAATATGACCAGGGACAGCTGTCCATTTTCTCCTCCAGTACAAGAACTAAAAGGGCATAAAATTAAACTAGCAGGTAGTGGGTTCACATTGAACACCAGGAAACACTTTTTCTCAATTGTACTTACTCTGCACAACTCCTTCCCACAGGATGTTTTAGGATGGTTCAAGTATGTACAAACAGGACAGGCACGCAATACTTTGTCAGAACACTTTTCTACCATCCCACAATTTGTGGCTGGAAAGGTAGGTCAGGAAACATAGGGGGAAGGCTAAGCGGGGTAGTTTTTACCATAAGAGGAGTCACTTTAGTTCCCTAAGGATCTGTGGTAGCCAATATATTCATGAATAAGCAGGAAAAATAGTACCAGTGAAGAGATAAATTTGACGCGAAAGCAAAACGATCTTCATGGTTTTCTCTAAGCCACTGGCCGTAGGGAGAAAACAAATACGGAGCTGGAGGGGCTCCTGGTACGACTGAACACAGTGACCCTAGGTGAAGTGGGAGAGGTGGTCCCAGGAGGGCCACTGGTCTTCGAGGGGTGTCCGGATGGGTACCTGGGCTTCCCCG